TTCCTTCCTTTTCTGTTTAATATAGTCTTATTTGCTAATATGGCTCAGTCTTAAATTTGGAATTCTCCTTCCCCAGCCTCCTGAGTGTAGGGATTGAAGGTATAAACCACCAAGGCAAGCACACTCATTACCTTCTGTTTTTCTTGTTTGCATTCTTTTTCCCATTAAAATCTTAATTTCTTGTGCTCTCCCAGTAACACTCTCCACTGTGTGGAATGTCCTGGTTTCATGACACCCTCAGAGACCTCTTTAACAGAGACCTCCACCCCGCCTACTCTAATGAAGACTGGCTGCCTTCTAGGCTGCTGAGTAAGTTCATCTCTCGGCTGCTTTCCCTGGCGGGACTAAGTAGCGCCGCCAGTCAGCTGGATGGCATTTTTACTCTACCCAGGTAGAAACTGTGAGTAGTCAGGAGAAATTCCTCAACCCTGGCCACTGGCGGCTTCTGTTTCCCGGCTCAGTGTCTGGCAGCAGGTAACCACAGATAGCATCTTTCCATTAGAGTTTTCCTTCAGGCCTCCAGTACCAGATCCTTAGCCCGCAAGTGCTACGGCCCTTGTGTAGGCCTAGGGGTTTAGGGTTCCTCAGGCCTTGGTAGTGTTACCGTTTTGTTGCTGTTGTTGCTTTAGACCTAGGAAGCCGGGATTTTTAGCCTTTAACAGCAGCCAGTACTGGTGCTCTTGGCTCAGGGCCTGAGACCTTTGTTCCTAAAGACTTCAGAACTCCCCGGAAGCCTTCTGCAGCAGCGTGCAATGCCCCTTCTCTGGCCCTTTGTAGCCCTCTACCCTTCTTTGGCCTCAGCTTGCTGCTGCCCCTCGCCTTCGCTGGCTGCCTTCTTTCGAGACTCTCTCCTCTTCAGCTGTCAAGCAGACAGCTTCCTTACCAGGAAAACCAATTGTGATCTTAACAGACTTACAGCTGTGCTTAACACCAGCCCAGCGGCCAAGGGAGAGACAGGCCCCTCCCTTCTCCTGTCTTAGTCAGGCCGTTATTGCCTGTAGCTAATGTAATGGTTTGTCAGATACTCCCTTACTCTGCCGAAGAGGCATTTTCAAGTAACTGCCTTAAGAGGTCTGAGTAGAAGTTAACCCCCCTGGTTCTCCCATCCTGGGGCCTATTTTGTGTATGTATTAAATAAAGGTGCCGGGCCAGGTGCTCTCTCATGTCTATTCCAAGAGTGTAATGTTGTCAATATGTGTCCTTTTATAGCTTCTGAGCGCTAGAAGAAAATTTTAAATAGTTACTACTCTCGAGGGATTTGCAGTTTCTTTGGCTGAACACATATAAGCTCTCAAACTAGTAACAGAAAGTCATCAATACAAAAGACACTGCAAGGTAGGGGCTGATTGGTTATCGATTTCAGCCTTGGGCTAAAGGAAAGAACTAGAAGCTGAGCCAGCCAGAGGTGTCCCTGCTGGAAGGAAGACCTCTGTCCTGTTAGAGGATAAGCAGTGAGTTAGGGGAGGGATAAATATTTATGTGACAGGCAGCAGTAGATTGGCCAACATTAGGCCTGATGGAATAGCTAATGGTCAGATGAGGCCTCCCTGTTACCTGCTCTGTCTTTCTGAGTCACTGACAGTTATATTTCACCAAATCACACCAGGTAATAATCTTTAAATATGGCAGTATAGCCATACCCTTCATTAACAGACACCTTTCAGACCATTATAGGGCACAACAGTTAACTATCATTACACACACACACACACACACACACATTTCTTGAAACATGAAGGACTTGGCAATCATTTTATCTGGATTGGGATAAAATGTCTCTCCTCACCACCATATCACCATTTAACAAGATTATTTTTCAGCCCAGATGTGTAGCTCAGTGGTAGAGTACTTGTCTAGCCTGTGCAGAGACCTGGATTTGATCCCAACACCACAAAAATAAATGGAATAAATATTAAATGGAATAAATATTTTAACTGTGGCAATAGGAAGTTGTTATAAATTACCTCTCCTTCCCATGCATGCCTCAGGCAGGGAGCATCACTCTTATTGCTAGACCTTATTATCCAAGGAACATCATTGCATGGATGGAGAAGAGCCTGGAATGTTTAAAGGATATGGCTCCTCCAGGGCAGGTCCCATAGACTGACGTGCCTGAGTAACCAGCAACATGGGATGGTTGGTAGTTTTCATTTAGCCAATGCCAGCTCCCCTCTTTGTTGCAAATAAAAGAAAGAAAGAAAGAACTTGTAAGAAAGGAAATTTCCAGAAGAAAGAATCTTTGTGTCAATGGTCTGAGCAGTTTCTAGAATGGAGTATGTGGGGCCACAGGATGAGTTTCCCTACAGCTGCCTCTTCTGGAAAGCATCCTCTAACAGCTCCCCCCACTCCTAGGAGGGAGCTGCTACCCTCCTAACATGGAGCCAATTCGAAGTTTATATTAATTCTCCTGCACAGGCTTTGGTCTTGGCTGTTTCATTCCTCCTCACATCCCAACCCCCAGGGCCTGACATATGGTGATGCTTGAGTTGGCCCAATGAAGGGATAGATGGATTAGAAGAAGTTGCATTTCATCAAAAAGTAGAAGCAGCAGCCTGAAAACTCAGTTGTCTCTGGAGCTTTGAGCAAGCCAGGGGGGTTAGCAGAAGTAGACCTGAGCCAAGAGGAGGACTTCCAAGAGCTGAGACCATCCGGCTCCCCAACCAGGGCAGTGGGGGGAGCAGGAAGCGGGGATGCCTCGGAGGTCTGTGGCCTGTGGTTCAGGACACCTTGCAGGTGCAGAGAGAAGCAGAAAGATGAGAAGCGCTCAGAAGCAGGGCTGCCACCGTAGCAGCTGCCCCACCCAGAGATGAGGCAGCCAGGGGCAAAGCGACATGTGGCGGTGTGCAAGCCAGTAATAACCCCAGCAATGGACATCTGAGGCAGAAGGATTGCTTTGAGCTTGTGGCCAACCTGGGCTGCCTAGCAAGTACCAGGACAGCCAGGAATATATGGCAAGACCTTATCTGAAAAAGAAAAAAAGGAGAGAGAGTGCTCACAGGACACATGGACCCACCATATCTAGAGTAGTAAGCCTTGGGTTTTAACCACTCACATTTCATCAGTCCAGTCTCCTAGAGAACCAGGCATCCCCCTTCCCCCCAAAATGCCTGGGCTAACTTGCTGAAAATACAAGTCTATATACCACATTTCGCCTGTTATTTCTTTTGTAGTTTGCTTATTTCTTTTTATCCAAGTTTCTTAGAAAGCTGTGTGTGTGTGTGTGTGTGTGTGTGTGTGTGTGTGTGTGTGTGTGTGTGTGTGTAAAATCCCTCAAGATTCTAGTCTTACAAAGGGAAATGTAAAGGAGAGCAGCATCCCTGGCGTAAGGTTTTAGAAGTGAGTGGCGCTAACACAGCAGAAGGGCTTAGGTAGCAAGACACCTAGTGCTTCACACCCAGACGGGTGCGGGTGCATCGTGAGCAGAAGGCCCCTGTTTCCCCCCAGGGCAGGTTCCCCGCAAGCCTGGGTCCCTCTCCAGCAACATTCAGTGCAGCCCTGCCCACCTGATTCCATAGCATTTTTCTCAAAAGCCTACGATATGTTCATTTCAACACTTAGGAAACACATTCTATGAAGATGCACCTTGCCTTGTGATCTTGGTGTCCTGGGGGGTGTAGGTGGACATTTTTGACCATGGAAATTAAAACCAACTTGGCTCCTGGCAGTATCAGTTAGAGTTGGCCTGATGACATTAAACTTGGGCAGGCCGCCAAAGGCATCTTTCAAGGGGGAAGCCCAGCTAAAGGCTCTGACTTTCTACTTAGACAGGACTCCTAGCCACAGCATCCCTCCGGGACAGAAAGACTTAAGCGCCAGGCAAAAGCCAACAGGTTCCGTTGAGTGGGTGTGGCCTTCGAAACCACCACAGAAGAGGTCCCTGCTGAGCGGGCTAGGAGCAAGGCCGTGAGAAAGGCCAGAGTGAAACAGAAGGCCACTTCCAGCTGACCTCTGCTTTTGGGAACTTGCAGCCATGCGCAGGCAACGAGCTGCCTGGCAAAGGCAGTCTCTCTGGAGAATGTGTAAGATGCCTGCTTCGCCAGCCCGCTGCTGAGAAGGGTCCACCCGTGGCAAGCAATCAAGTCGGGGTGGGGGAGGGGCGTGCAGTCGGAGATTTGGGGCTGGCGAGAGGAGATCGGGAAAGCTCTCATTCTCTACCTCGTATCACCCTTAGTCACTGTTTTGGGACAGCGATCTCACTAAGGTGTGTCCAAACAGCCAGAGCCCCACACAGACTTACTGGGGAGCGTTCTCCGCCTTCTAACCGGCTCACTTCTGACCACATGCAGTCCAAATCCACATGCGTGTAAACTATAAAATAAAATCGCCCTTCCCTTTCCTCGGTGTACAGTGGTGGGGGGGGGGGGTTCTGGCAAAAATGCAGGCACCAGGAAAAGAGGTTCTGGCTGAAAAGCTGTGATCCCCCCCCCCCCGCAAGGCTCCACTCCATGTGAAAGTATGACCTGGTACAGTGTGTCTCCAAAATCTGTGTGTCCCCGCTTCCCCCGGCTCAATCGACTTCTCAGACTCCCTGGCGCTTGGTCACCCTCCCCACCACCACCACCACTTCAGCCTGAGTTCCTGCGTTCTGCCTCCTCCCTTCCCGAAGTAGTGGGATCACAGAAAGATGCGCTGGGTAGGGAAGAAGTGTCAAGGTTCCACTCGCTTGGACAGTAGCCTCGCCTGGAGCCAGGGAGCCGTGGGGTCCCTGCCTGGGGCTCTAAGATTCTCCGCCGAGTTTATAGCTCTTCTCTACCTGGCCACCTCGCTTGCGGGGGGTCAGAGACCCCAGCGTGGCACCTCTCCCTCACCTGCCCACTCCGGAGGTTTCAGCCACCTGCCAGAAGACCAGTCGTGGGGGCACAGTCTGAGGCCGGCGGGCACACCCACGGGTCTCAACCACTGCCCAGTCCCTGCCCTGCCCACTCCCCAGCAGGCAGCCCAGGTCACAGGGGCTAAAGGGGCTAAAGGGGTCACAAGGGTCCCGTCCCCCCACTTCTTACCCAATCCCGGCACGAAAGTGTTGAGGAAGAGACAGATGACAGCCACCGGGAAGGGCATGTAGGGGATGGCGGCGCGCAGGGGGCCCTTCTTCTCTCGAACCTGCACGACCACCCCGCTGGACGACGACGCCCCCCGAGGATCTGCTGCCGCCACCGCCGCCGCCGCCGCAGCAGTCTCGGCGTCTTTATGCAAAGGCTCCATGGCTGGACACGCTCTCCAGGAACACGACAGCCGCCCAGGACACGAGGGCAGGCGACGGCCGGCTGCCGGCTCTGGGCTGCGTGCTCCGCGCCCTGCTCAGGAGGCCAGCGCGCTCCGGGTGCTGCGAGGCTGGCAGTGAAGCCCGCCCTCCCGCGCTCCACGCCCCCACCCCGGGCGGAGGGCGGGAGGGGCAGCGTGACACTCGGTGACTGTGCTCCCTCGCCCCTCCCCTCCGGGCCCCTTCCCCGCCCCCTCCACACCTCTCCGCTAAGCCCATCATTTACCAGCAATGGAGACAGGCGAGGAAGAAAGTGCCAGGAGAGCGCAAGGATGCTTGTGGTCCAGGTACCTGGACCCTCCCACCACTGGTGAACTGAGAACCTCACTCAAGGTCCCCGAGAGCTGGGCGTGCACTAGACTAATCCAGTTGGAAAAGCCTCAAGGTTGTGTCTCTGTTCTGAGTGTGCATTTAATGCTAGGGACATGGGGGCTAGGGACACGGGGAGTCTGAAATCTAGGAAGTCTTCAGCTCACTCTGCGTTTCGAGTTACTGAGAAAAAGCAACCGGTTTCAAGTCACAGATGATGTTAGGACTGGAAGCGAGAAATGTCGCTTGCAGCTTTATAAACCCGTGCATGTCTGCAAAAGATGTTCCCTGCACACGCCTACACACACACACACAGAGAGAGAGAGAGAGAGAGAGAGAGAGAGAGAGAGAGAGAGAGAGAGAGAGAGAGAGAGCTCACAGAGATGTGAAAAATGGAAAGGAATGCTCTTGTGCTCTTGAGGGAACAGGTAAAGGGAACCATGCCCTGACCAGTGTTGTGGGCCATCTGAACCACTTATGACTGACTACTTGGTGGTTAAAAACCAATGCCACCACAGCGCCTCCTGCTGTTGACAACGCACCAGTGGGAATAAGCAAAAGGAACGATTTGGCGAGTTCAAGTAAACCACCAGGAGTAGAATCGGGCTTCTCGGTAAGACTGTCTTCATCTACCCTTGAATAAGTGAATGGATGGAAGTAACCTCCTTTAACCGGGCATGGTGTTTCACGGCTGCAATCCTAGTCCCTGAGAGGTGGAGGCAGAAGGCGCTCTTCCTATCAACTTCAAGACCAGGCTGAGCAAGACCAGGCATGTAAATAGGTGAATAATTTGAAAGTGTACTAGGTGAACCACAGGATTGCAGCGACTGATAGCACCGTAGCACCAGTGACAAACATGAGGTGGGATATGCTGAAGGTGCTGTGACTGAGGCCTTCCTGTGTAGCCAGCTGCAGGGGAGCTATCAGTTACTAAGGCCTCTCCCGGAAAGGGGCACATGTCAAGATTTAATGACTAAAGGATACTACTTGCAGGCATGTTTTATTGTAAACATTTATTACAATATCATCTGCTGGGCACCATCCTAAAGTCTTAGCCACATTTAATGCTTGCCCTAACTCTAGGAAGTATTACACATTACCCTGTTTTATAAGTGGTTTTACACGTTACCCCATTTTATAGGTGGTATTACATGTTACCCTGTCTTATAGGTGGCATTACACGTTACCCCATTTTATAGGTGGTATTACATGTTACCCCGTCTTATAGGTGGTATTACACATTACCCCATTTTATAGGTGGCATTACACGTTACCCCATTTTATAGGTGGTATTACACGTTACCCCATTTTATAGGTGGTATTACATGTTACCCTGTCTTATAGGTGGTATTACATGTTACCCCATTTTATAGGTGGTATTACACATTACTCTGTTTTATAGGTGAAGCAGCTGAAGCATCAAGAGGTTACATAAATCCGCACCGATATGAAAGCCGGTGATCTCAATCCAAAACCCATGGTGCAAGTGTTATTTCATCTAAAGATCTGGAAACTAACCTCCATCCTATGAACACTCCTTCACAGGATCCCTGGACCCGCTTTTAGGTCCCTCTGTCATTATTAGTCCTGAGGAAAAGGAAGCCAGAGAGGGAAGAGATTTCCATTCCCATAGTCTCCAGGCAGAGCCATTGTGGGTGCCAACACATGGGAGCCTAGGAAAGCAGGGAGAATCCAGACATGCAGTAAGGTTGGGGGCCTGGGGCTGCTGAGGAGGACAGGAAGCTGGCTAACCCTGAAGGCCAGAGGAACTGGGACTTTATTCTGTTGTCTGGGCATCGCTGACATTTTAAGTAGGCATAGGGCATCATTTGAGTTCTTTTTATTCCTACTCTGCAACAAGCGACCCTCAAAGTGACATGGCTATTTTTTAAATGATTGTACTCTACCATGAGATCACAGCGGAGGCAGCTCCCCACTCCTTTTATCCCCCAGCCACTGTGTCCAGATCTGTGGCTGGGAAACTCAAACGGCTAATGGCTGTAACTGCTGGGACCACACCATCCACTTCTAAGCATCTTCTCAGGTCAGTGACTTCAGTGAGAGATCTTGAGAGCTGGATCCTCCGGGGTGGTCCTTCAGGTCACCTCCATTCAGGGTCCCTATGACCTAGACTTTTTACAATAAAATATGGTTGCCAGTCTCTAAAGAGGAACGTGTGAGGGAATCCTCCTGAGAATGGAGACTGCAGAGCCAAAAGAAGTACAACCTCTTCACTTCCAGAAGTCACACCCTTCCTCAGCAGGAGCTGTTAGGAACTCAGCCACCCACCTAGACTTAAATACAGGGCGGCCCACCTCTTAACGGAAGAATGAGGGCCCAGGCTTTATGACTGACATTATGACAGCTGGGAAGAGCATTCTGCCAGCAGTAAAGAGGATGGCTGGAGAGGACGGGTCTGGGCCACAGGCCCACGAGGACTGAGGGTAGAGGAGAAGGACAGAGAATTGGAGAGACAGTTCCCAAATGATGACTGGACAGGATTAGCCAACAGAAAGAGGCTGCAGCATTTGAGGGGCACATGCTCACTCGCCTCACCGCCATGATCAAATACCTGATGGGAAGCAACTACAGGGAGGAAGGTCATATTCTGACTTACAGTTTGAGAAGACACCACCTACACTCCATCGTGGCAAAGGGGAGGCATGGCAGGAGATCACGAAGCAGCTCGGTGCCCAGTTTAGCTCCTAACACTTGCTGGTAAACGATTCCCCCAAAGCCTGTTCCTTGGGACCACGGAGTTCCGCTGGCTCATTTCCCTCCGCACACCCCAACCTCTTCCCCACTCTCCTTGGAGTCTCTCCCCGGCACCCCTTGACCCGTGTTCTCCCTAGTGCTTGGCTCTTGCTCCTTTTCTATAACCAGTGAGCCTTACTTAGCCAATTACTTGCTGGCCCACTTAGCTCCTAATAAATCCATTAAGCTGTAATCAACCCTCTGTGCATCCTGAAGATCAACTCTCTTGATTAAAGCTGGCGGTGATTAAGGCTGAGGGTCTCTGTAATCACTGCTGAAAACCTGAACAATAAGTCAATTTGATTGGCAATAAGAAATTTTTAAAAAACCCAAGGGTATCTATAATTACCGCTGAAGATCGTCAATTTGATTGGCAGAAGGAAGGGGGAAAAAGTTCATCTAGTCAGGTCCTGACCATGCAACTGCCTGCCATCCTTCTCCTCCACCCCGAAGACTGAGGACCAAGATCCCAATAGCCTCAGAGGAAGCAGTCTTTGAGGTGGGCAAGAAGCCTGCAGAAGTCTAACCTCCTCACTGGTGAGAGCATCCTTCCTCCAGATTTCACATCATCAGCTTCTCTCTATCCATTCCCTACATCTCTTCCCTACCACACTCACACTAGGGCAGTGCTTCCTGGGAGATGTCCATCTCTGAACTGGTCTGGAAACTCCTTATGATGCGGCTCTCCTCCTGTCAGTAGCAGAAGGGGACTACAGGCTCCGGTGACCTGACCAGAGGGGGCATGTGTGGAGAGGGGTTGCCAGGAAACACAGATGATGAGTATACCCCAGAAACTACAAGTCAGGCTCGTTCTCCTCCCACTCTCAACAAAGCACCCAGTAGAGAGGGAACAAGGACACTTTTTGGAGATAGAGACACCAACTGTCCATCTCTCTCTCCTCTCAGCATCCTTAGGATCAAGCCTGGCTTTTACAGTTGTACCACCTGGAGCCCCAACTTCCTAACCTGTAGCTAGCAGAGGCTGACCCATCCCAGACATCATCAGTACGGACTGGATTTTCTCACTCACCCAGGTGCCAACCAATACAATGCGCTGATGCCCCACAAATTCTCTGACATCGTCTCAGAAGTGGTAGGAACCCCAGAACTGAAGATGTTCTCAAAACTGAGAAAAGAAGAGGAAATCAGGAGGGAGAGAGGAGGGGGCTCTGGGGGCAGTAAGAAAGGACACAAAGATAGAGAGTGCTTGCCTTTAACCCTGAAGTCATCTCCACACCCCAACGACTGTGTGCTGGTCAGTTTCTATCACTGTAACAAAACACCTGAGATAATAAGTTTGCAAACAGATTTCTGTTAGCCCAGTCCATGATCAGTCGGCCCTATTCCACCTTGCGGTGGGAGCCTTGGTGGGGCAGCCAGGCTAAAGAGAACCAAGGATGGAGTCTCACTGTCCTCTCTGAGAACATAGTCCCAGTAACCTAACAGCTCCTACCAGAATCTTCCTCCTAAAGGTCCACCACCTCCCCGCAGTGCCAAGCTAGGAACCAAGCATTTGGCACATGGGCATTTAGGGAAGACTCTGAATCCAACAGACAGTGAGCTGTGTGCAATCATACTCACCACCATGGCATTTAACTAAGCAAGCAATACCCTACAAAGCAAAGCAAGGAAGAGCCAGGGATAGCTCAGCTGGCAGAGCGCTTGCCTGCCGTGCGTAAAGTCGAGGAGTTGACCCCAGTACCACATAAACAGAGCATGGTAGCATAGACCTGTCATCCCAGCCTTTGGGAGGTTGAGGGAGGAGGATGGGGAGTTCAAGATCATCTCCAGTGTAGAGGGTTTGAGGCTTGCCTGGGATACCTGAGATTCTGTCTGGGAAAAAAAAGAGGAAATTAAGAAAAGAAAGCAACAACAAAACCAACTGAGACAACAGGGGCTGTACTCTTCATCATCTGCAAGTCACCAAGCATGGGTCAGCGGAACTGGCGTCCTCTTAGTGAGCTCCCTTTAAGTCTGTCGGGACAGCCCTCTGGGAGGTGCGGCCTTTCAGCCCCTAACCAGCATCCCTGG